CAGTGGCTGGGAGCGGCCACTGCACTCCAGTCTGGGCGACAGAGTGAGACTCCAACTCCAAAAAAAAACAAAAACAAAAACAAAAAAAACACAGAATTATAAAATGTAAGCTGTCATGACAGAAATTAATGTTCATATAATTAGGCAAATAACCTCAGAAGGTATCTTGTATCATGCAGGTTTCTAAGAGCATATTATAAATACTTTAAAGTACTTTATATCCAACTTACCCTAAATCTTCACAAAGAAATTATACTGAAGTTCAGGGCTATCTCTTCAGACTGATGATTCTGAACAGAATTATCCTATGACAGTCAACCTATGATTTTAACTAATGGTAACTATTAAATCATCCAAACAATATTTCCCAAGTAACTTCATTTTTCTAGGGGTGTTGGAGAACATACCCTCCATCTTCACTGCAAGGAGTGTGATCTTGCTTTAGAGTACAGTAAAATTACCGAATGAATCATGAACAGTATTTAAGGTATGAAAGGGAAAATCCTTAAGCAAGCTATTCAATAAATATCAATGACTGCTATATAATGAACTCTGAGTTGTTATTTTTAAAAACTGCATGTATTAATAAATCTATATTGAATGTCTATATTCAATTAAATCAGTGAGATGCTTACTTATAGGGTCCCTCATTTTCCTTTTTCTGTCAAGTATACGATCATAAATTCCTTTAGGAAATAAAACAGCAAAGCTATTTTAAAACTATTAGATTCGTTATACTTTGTTAAGCATCAGCTGCACCTCATGTGATTTTTTAAGCAGCAAACATAAAACAGCCTTGAGCAAGCAAAGAACACATGACATCCGAAAATCGCTCTCTGAATTTAATGAAACCTATAGGCTCAGGTGCAAAACATACAGATAATTCCATTAAACAAATTGTGGAAATTAAAATTTGACTTCTAAAAAAACAGAAACAAATCAGGTTATAGCATCCTTCTGAAATAAGGATACTAAGAAAAACTGTGTTCATATAAACTGCCACCGATAAAAAAACTAAATAAAAGTCCTAAGGCAATTTTAAAGTGATCATGAATATACCAATTCTGATTAGCATTAAAAACTATGAAAAGCCATAGCAGCGTAACTTACATTTATTATTACACAGTTATCTGAAAACACCAAGATATTTCACAAAAATAAGAATTTCTATGGGAAAAAGTTTAGGCCCAATCTATTTTAAAATATGAAAACTATCTGGCAAATAACCAACTAAATGGGCTTCCAGTATCACACAATGACAAACAGGGAAAAAAATTATTAGAAAACATTGGTGGAAAAGTTATAATTTCTTATATTCTAATATGTATTTAATAGTTTTTCTTAAACTCAGATATTTGCCAAAAACACTTATGGGAGCTTCAATAAAATCTCAGAAAGGTTGAAAAGCACGGAAAAAAACTGAGTAATCCCAATCTTAAAAGATGACGACACAGGAAAGGTTATAAACACTGAAAAACAACTAAGGCAGTCAATGTACATTATTAGAATTAGTATGAAAAAGGAACTCAAACTTAATTATGAGGGAACTTTTTGAAGGGTTTTTTTTGCTGTGATATATTTAAAAATTCTGTTTTATTTCAAAAGAAGTTGTCAAGTAGAACCTATCCCTCTTGAAAATGAAGTATTTTTCCCAAAGAAAAAGGAGCTTATAGAAAAACTTCTAGATCCTCCTTTTTTATGATATATCAGATGCTTGAACTTGTATTCTTCTGCCTAAGTAGAAAGATGAGATTTTACTGTACTTTGAATGTTTGTGTTTAGTTCTCTAATTTTTACTTTAAAACAAAAGTAGTGCTAATATTGAAACCAATTTTAAGTAAATATTGATTATACATTCCTGATTATATAATGTTATTGCACCACACTGAATTAGCTGTTCTGCTTTACTATATAATGTAGCAATCTCATAATCTCACATATCACTCTCTAATTGGTCCACATACATGCTCCTAATTCTCAAATCAACTCCGATCTTCCTAAAGGCAAATAGTATTTTTTCTCATATACCAAGGGTAATTCAAACACTAACTCATACAGAATAGCCATAGATTTCTTGATTTTCCTTTATTTATTCTGAACCTCAATACAGTGCTACAACAGTGTTTGTCATTCTCAGAAAACAATTTTTCAAAAATTTTAAAAGGCCAAAAGTGGTCAAAGCTATTCTAGTGCCCAAAATAATTAAAGAAAATGGAAAGACAAATAAAAAACATGTCAAATACAATTAAAGAACTGAACACAGGATAGAAAACAAAAAGAAAGCATTATTACCAAAGCATGTACACAAAAGCCAATTTTCTTTCATTTTAAGTGGGTACATAAACAGTATTATGATTACCAATGTCTCTGGTTTAAAAACCACAACTTAAAAAATGCTTTGTTAGATACAAAATTGGCCTTAGTCTACTACTGCATACTGCTTTTGTGTGTGTATGTGTAAGGTGAATAAAGACTCAAATAACATATTTTTCTGAGAGAGCTCTCCAAAATCATTATTTGTCATATTATCATAACAGCCTGAAAATTAAAGACTGGTAGAAAACACATTCAATTAATTCAAGGTAGTTAGGCTTAAGCACTGCAGGCATAAACTTTTGTAAGAGGAAAAATCTGGAGCTAAATATACTGATAATCCCCCAGGTAGGAAACATACTGATAGGTATTTATAGGCTTCATACACTGAATTACCACTGCATGATATTACTTTGTTTACAGTGAACTGATATGTCATACATAAACTTGTAATAATAACCTTAGTTACAAAAATATTACTCTGTGGTTTAAATTGGAGAAGCTTCAAATTTAAACCTGGACCCAGGTGAAAATTCCGATTTAAGATAATTTAGAATTCACACTTGGGTATGATTTCTTGCAAGGGCAACTAGCTAGTAGCATTTAAAAATAACTATTGGCCTTAAAGAAATTCATAGAGATATCTAGTAATCATGTTAAAGTCAGAAATGTGCATAACAATTTAGATTTGCTTTTAATGAGTTTTAAATGTGAAGCTTTTCCATTAAAACTTATTTAAAATAAAAAATTCTAACCCATAAACTTTTACATACAACAGAAATAAAATCGACCTATGAAACGCTATCTTTCCTATTTATTGAATTCAATTACATGTTCAGCTCTTGATATAGGTAACCTGAAGTATCCAGGTATAAGAATTAAGACTTCAGTTCTAGAAGTTAGTGTACTCTAAGCCTAATCAGTTTGAGCCTAATGGAGATAAAAAGTTAAGTGTTTTAAAATAATGTACTTGTTAACAAAAATTTACTAGTATTACAATGCTGTATGTGATGACAAAAGCCAGAAATAAAAATTATCTCTTGAGATATTTAAACGATTAGGATAATCCATCAAATGTTTAAAGAGATCAATTCCAGTTTGTAACTGCTGCTATGTTTTTAAGAGCCTCAACTTCAAATACCTCAACCTTTTATGGAAAGATGGAAACACAGAACAAATTATGCATAAGTACCCTTAGGGTACACTTAAAGGAGATGATATTGCTTTTAAGTCTAGTTAGAAGGTCATATACTACCCTCCACTGCCTTAGACCCCTCCCTGAAAGAAACCAAGAGGCTTGTAGACTAAAAATGAAGGCAAGGGGGTGGAGGCGCAGGAAGGGAGGAAAAGAAATGGCCAAAACAGATCAAAGTACAAGAAGAGCTGGCTGAAAAGGCCTTACATGACCTACTTCAAGGTCCTCGTCATACAGGACATGAAACTATAACCCAAAGGGATGAAAGTCCATAACTGTGTAATTTAAAGCCATATAGATTGTAACAGAAATAGGGGAAAGATCCAAGTTTCAAACCTCCTTTCCTGCCAGTTCCTTTCACTTTCCACTTTTTCTCACCACTGTCTTTCACATCATCATGTCACACTTCCTGCTCAAGGGTTCGCTGGGAATGCCAGTAAATCAGCAGCTTACTAAATACATTTATATTCAAGCACCAAAATCCTTTTTTCTAAAATGAATTTCCCTAAAACCCCAAAAGCTGAGTGACTGAAGTCTAAGTGGGAGGGCTGGAGTCCTTGTCTGGTGGCAGCCCCAGGTTGAAAGTGTCCCTTTCCCTATCACCTCTGATGACTCTCTAAGCATTCCACTGACAGAAACCATCTCAATAACTGAATTTCTCAATATCTGCCTCTGCTCCCATTGACCTTTTATGCCAGTTCATTTGTCTTCTTTCTTGTCCATGGATATGTATCTCTTTTATATATGTATTGTATTGCAGCTTCAGCACAAATATTTAGAATAATTATGCCCCTTCCACTATGAAAATATTTCCCTCGCCACCTTCAAAACTATAACAATTTTCCTCTTCTAGCATAACCAAGTCCTAGACATGTATGCATTGAATTTGAGCAATATAAAAGTGCTACCATAAAAATGTCACTAACGTGGCTTAACTGGGCCAGAGTAGAGAGTGAACATAGATAGCTAACTTAATTTATCAAGACAGTAAATTTAATAACTACTATTTCTAAGTGAAAACCCTGGCGTGACTAGTTTGGAAAACAAGCAGGACTTGTCTAAAACAACTGCTAAGTTGATTATCAAAGTTAGTACTAACCCTCTAGAGTAGAATATCATTTACAAATGTATTATTAATCTGCTTATTCAGTCCTTACTTATAAAAACATCTCATATATTGATAAATTAACCAAAGAAGAGTCTTAGGATAACATAGCTCCACTCATATAATTCACACAATACCAAGTCTATTTATGCTTATTCAAACTTGAGTTCTGTAAGAAAGAATTCTCATATCTAACGACCGAGTTTTCTATATCCTGTAATAATCCTCTCATCATCTGGTACCCAGTATTTACATTCAAATTCAGTCTGTAGGAAGAAAGATAATGCTTTGTAACCACAAAGGACTTGAAAGTAATTTGATTAAGACTAACTCCCAGTTTTTAAACTATGGGTTTCTCCAAAGAAACTGATAATTTGGAAGCAGACAGGGGTATAAGGAGTAACACAATTTAGAATAAAGAAATACTGTGCTATAAAGTTTTTTTTTTATAAAAGTGAAAAAAACTGAACTAAGGACTTTTTAATAAATATATCTCAAAACAAATGTAGCAGACTTCATGATGAAAACGTAAAGTTCTGTAAAACATTGATAAATAAAGCAGGATGTTAAGTTATGATTTTGTATCTAATTGCATATAATTCTGAAAGAAGATAAAATCTGTTTAGTTTGACTGATGTTTAAAGTCAGGTGCTCTTGTGTATATCATTAATTCCTGTTTCCAAAAAAAAGTTATGTTTTAGAAACATAAAATAATTATAAATTACTTTAAAATTTGAAAATGAAAATTTTTAAATAGTTTAAATCAAGTGATCCTTAAAATATAAATTGTTTCAATGCCCTTTAACATATGCTTAAATAGATATAACTGAAACAATAAATCCTACTCATAATATAAAGACTAAACTCCTAGTCAAAATCCTGAAAAACATACACTGTGCAGCCTACCTGGTCTATTCTGGATGTTCCGGCTGCAGTGCACCAACTATCTTGGAGTGAATCTGAGCCCCAAGCTGGCAACTGCAAACTAGATCTCACCTTCAATAGCATAGAAGTTTTCATCAGAAATGAGCAGTTTTCTTCCCCATACCCACCCAAAAAAGAAAGAAAGAAAACAAAAAACAATCAAAGTTCTTTCTATCTTAAATCTTCATTCCATCCTTTAAAGGTTTTAGGGGGGAAAAAGAATCTCACTTGAAACAGTCATAAGGGAACTTCAACAAAATATTCAACAAAATATTCAAAGGCTTGAAAAAAAAGTCTAGTCATCAAAACTACGGGGCCACATTTAGGGGAAAAAAAAAATCACTGCATCAGTGAAGACAAATTTAAATTAGATGCAAAAAGCCCTAATACTATTTTGCCATAATCACAGCTGTACTAAGTATATTCTAATATATATATGGCCAATCATAGTCAAATCTTTGAATAATTACAACTATTCAACATTTTAGCTTAGCTCTATTATAGAAGAAATAAATTTTGGTGGCCTATTAAAGATTAATAAATTAAAGCACTCTTAAAAGCTGTCAATTAAAAGCTTTCACAGGTATTAAAAATATACAACAGGTTTTTCTACATTTTACTAAGTTTAATTTTCATTTCGTGTTCAGAGAATGTTTTACATTCTGTTTTTCCCTGTACAGACATTTTACCCTTTATTAAGTTATATGCTTAAAAATGAGAACACTGTTTTTAAAAAATCTGTTAGTTTTACCATACTACTGCTACTACTACCACCACCACCACCCTATTCAAAAAAACTTCCATTCAAAAACATCCTATTTTGAAAGATTAACATTAGAAATAAGGCTATTTACATACCATTCTTACCTGTAAGGGTAAGAGTGTATTACTATTGTTGTCTGTTCTGAACACATTATCTTCAATCCAAGATTTTGGAGTCAGTGATGGAGTAGAGCGAGTAAATTTCGGTGGTGCTATGACATTACCAGAAAACGGTTTCTTCAATGGAGATATCTGATTCATAGTTCCTGGAATTCCCATGTTTCCAGTTCTGCGATGATCTCTGCCATGCATTGCTCCCCAGGACATACTTCCAGTACCCCAGCCACTGCTCTGATGGTTGCTCCAGGGAGATTGTTTCAGAAGAGGCTGGGGAAAATACATCTATTTAAGTTATAGGCGCTTGGGTTTACAATTCAAATTCAAATTTTAGGCCTGTGCTGAGAATCTGTATGAATGAAATACAAAAAGGCAAAATAATATACCTCAACAAGCTTATAAAAGTAATAGGCTTGAGATCTCGAGATCAAATATGAAAAATCGTATTTGATGCTGGGCAAGTTTTCACCTTCTTGTCTACTATGTATAATATTTCATGACAATTACTAAAATATAACTATGCACTTTTTTTCTTTCAGAAACAACCGTATACATGAGAAATATATAGAAAAAATATACTTTTACAATGAAATTAACTTTGAAGACCCTTAAGGCCATAACCTACACTGAGATCTTATAGTAACCATTTTATACTAGTGACAACAACTAAAAATATGGTCTTTATTAATTAAAATATCCTAGTCATATGAGTGAAATACTTAGACTTTAAGTTTCCAAAACAAATTATACCACTCCAAAAGTGGATAACAACATTTTGTGCTACTCTGTTGCACAAATTTAAAATTCCTTTTGGGATAGAGACAGTATAGAAAATATGTAATTATTTTACATTATTCATTTAACTTTTAAGGTATGTCATTCAAATTTTGGTACAGTTTGTTTTAAAGTGTTTTTTGTTTTTATTTTATTTAATTATCCATGAACTATGAAGCAATTATCTGATGTTACCCATAGGTGGATCCACTGAGATAGACTACCAATAACTATATGCTCTGATTATTTTAGTAGAGATCTAAAAGTTTCCATTCAAGTCTCCATTAAGTTCATTCACTTTCAAAAGTTAATTATATTCCAATCTAAAACCTGGGGCAAGAAAAGTTAAGCCATCAAAAATGGAAGAGCCACTGAAAGGGTATAATCGTAGTTTAAGTTTTTTGTTTTTTTTTAAAGAAGTATTCATTGCTGTTAATAAGTTTATACTTTAATAATTTGGTGCTAAGATATAGCCAAAGAAGTAGGAACCACGTAATTACTAAAAATAATATGGGATTCTTAAAATTAAACTGGCTTCTAATAAGCTTAAAATAAAGAAATAAAAAAACCCTCTTCTATCTATAGTATCATCTTTTTTTAACTTTTTAAAACAAACATAATCATGAATATATACGACTCTTTCCCCCTCCACATAGTTTAAGAGCGTAACTAGGGGGCCAAGGACGCATCACTCCCCCCTGAGGACCTTACTTTCCTTATTATACGAGTCAGCGTTCAACGTTCTCCGGCAGTGATCTAAAATTCCATTTAAAAGCTGTGTGACCACTCACACTCCAAAGTAAGATCTATCTTTTGTCCAAAAGCAGATTACAATTAAATATGGGTCATGGTGTATATTTCCCTAAAGTTCTGAATGACTTTAAAAATATAATAGATAATTTTGTTTCAAGTTTCCAGTTAAAAAAAAAAAAATGAAGACCCTAAGACGCAAAGGTAGTTGGCTCAAAATTATGTACATCATAGAAAAGCAGAACATCATTTCAAAATTCAATTTTTTCAATTCTTACAGGCCACATTCTGTTTTCTCTGAGAGAAACCAGTGATTCAACAAAAACGGTTAAGTGTTACCTCAGTTAATTTAGGTATTATTCACTCTCTAAAAGGTTAATTCTTGAAAACTGGTCGACTGAAAAAGTTATGTGAGTTAAGGTAAAAATTTTGCTCCTCTGTCAATCCTTAAACCGAAAAAGGGCTTAAACAGAATGACCACTAAAATAAACGCTGGCCAGGTTAAAAACAAAACTGTTTCGGTGTCAATTAACCAACCCAAAAATTGTATCGAGAGAGTCACAAAAGACCTTGAATCAGAGAGGACTCGGATTAAAGAAAAAACCTGCCGTGGTTTCATAACATTGCCGACTTGAAACACACACACCCCCAATTCCCTTAACGTGCCAAAGTCTACGAGGAGATGTGCTCATCTCAGGTTCAAGTTCAGTTCGGCCTTAAGCCCCACAAAACAGCACCCAAACGTTAAAAGGCGCAGAAACCAAGAGGACCCTGGGCGTCTCCCTCTTCAGCGACCCGGCCGCCACCAACCCTCCCGGTCGCGACAGCCGGG